CGCGCAAAAAAATTTAGAATAGTGCCAGGTGCTCGGTGGTTCACACTTTTAATCCTGAGATCTGAGGATCGTGGTTCAAAGCCAGCCTGCACAGCAAAGTGTGTGAGACCCTTATCTCCAATAAACCACTAGAAAACTGGTAGTGGCACCATGGCTCAAGTGGTAGAGTGCTGTCCTTGAGCTGAAGAGCTGAGGAACACACCCAGGCCAGAGTTCAAGCCCCACAACCAACAACAACAATAAATTAGAATAGTTTTGGACTCAGCTAACTTGGTGTAGCCAACTTGCTTCCCAACCTTACTCAAATGAAAGCAAAAACAGAAAATAGAAAATAATGAATGAATGAATGAATGAACTTGAATGAATGGAAAATAGAAAACAATGAATTACTTCAAGAAAAGTAGTGTGGAGCAACTAATGGGCCTCAAGTCAAAGCAAAGCTCTCATTGTTTTAGGACAAAAGGTAATATGCATCTGTGTGTGTGTGTGTGTGTATTTAAAGCTGAAATAAAAATATAACAAATACATCTCTTTTTTTTGGTAGTATTGGGGTTGGAACTCAGGACTTTATACTTGCTTGGCAATAGCTCTACCACTAACGTATTATACTTCCAGCCCTTTTCTGTGCTAGTTATTTTTTGAGACTAGGGTCTTGCTTCCTGCCTGAGAATGCACCCCAGCTGTGATCCCCCTATTTTAAACTTCCCACTGTAGTTGGATGGAGACAGCCAAGTGCCACCATGCAACACTTGTGTTCTGGTGACATCTTGTGGACTTTTATGCCTGGGCTAGCTTAGAACTATGTTTCTCCTGATCTTAGCCTCCCATATTTCATAAATAACTAGGATAACAGATGTGAGCCACTAGTGCCTGGTTAAATATATCATTTTTATTACTATTTACTAACATTTGGACTCACTGATTGGGTTTCAATTGTGTTAGATAAAAGAATTTCTCTTGTACTGGAAATTCGCTGACTGTACCAGCTTTTATGTTCTTTATCTGGCAAACTCCTAATCTTTCAAAAGTCAGTTGCTCCTCTGATTCTCCTTTTTTTTTTTTTTTCTTGCCAGTCCTGGGGCTTGAACTCAGGGCCTAGTCACTGTCCCTGAGCTTCTTTTGCTCAAGGCTAGCTCTCTACCACTTGAGCCACAGCGCCCCCTCTGGCTTTTCCTGTTTAAGTGGTGCTGAGGAATTGAACCCAGGGCTTTATGTATACTAGGCAAGCACTCTACCACAAAGCCACATTCCCAGCTCCTGATTCTCCTTGATACTTTGAGCTGATCTCCTCTCTGAGATTCTACTGTTCCCAGTAAGTGCTTCCATTGGGCACTCATCTGTATGTTATTGTCTGTGCCTGACTGGCCTGGGATTTTCTAAGTGGTGGATTCTATCTAAATCTCAGGGTCTTTGTCTTTGGCACAGAGGAAACTGGCAAATTTAATGGGGGAAGGAATAAAAGAAGAAATGAGTGGGTATGCCATAAAATTAGACAGCAGGGTAGAATCCAGAGGACAAGAGCATTGAAAGGTGAAGAAAAATTACCCTGTAGAATTTCTGAGCACACTCCAAAGGCTGAACCTTTGCTGAAAGAGCCAGGCATCAGGCAGGAAAGAAAAATGGTGTGTGTGGGTGGGGGGGGGGAACTATCAGAACTATCAGATGGAGTTCTGGCTTAAAGAATTAGATCTGACAAAGCTTGATGGATGAAAGTGGTACCCAGCCAAAGGCATTCACTGGATCACAAGGGTTGAATCTCACCTGATAGGATAAAGGTGCCGCTATCCTTGCCCACCACCTCCCACTGTGGGCTTTCGAAGAGCTTCTTCTTGGAATGCTCTGAGGCTGGGGGCTCATAGGGCACATTCAAGATGAAGTTGAGCAGACGCAGCTGGCGTGTCTCCCAGTACTGCTGCAACTGCTGGAGGATCTCTTGGGCGTGCATTTGTTCTTTTTCATGCTGCCAGACCTGGAACGGCCGTGTTTCAGAAACCAGAGCTGGCTTGATGGCTCTGAGGATGATTGGAGCTAGGACTTGAGTAGTGGGGCTGAGGTGCAGCTCAAGGGCCAGGTCTCAGGGTGGTGATGGTCTCAGAGATGGAAGGAGAATGGGACCATCAGGCATCAATGATGGCCATTACTGGGCCCACTGAGCAGACACCTCAAGCAACTGGTGCCCCTTAGGAAAGTTAAACATTGAGGAACATCTGCTATTCTGTGTGTTCATCACTTTGAAGCTGCTACCCTCTTCCTCTCTGCCCCACCAGGGGTAGAGGTTACCTTTAGTCACATAGGGTCTAGAACTTAGAAAGACCAGCCGATTCTCATCTGGATATTTGGGGGCAGTTTTCCTAATCTCTAGGCAAATCAGCAATCAAGGACTGTGATGAGTTTTATTACTAGCTTGGACCACCCACTTCCCTCCCTTCCTGTGGACCCTACCTGTTTGATTCGATCTGAGAATTCCAGCAGTGGACACGAGAGCAGCTGGCCCAGTGTCAGGAGGTCCATATTGCGGATAATGCCTAGCCCTAAGGCTGGAGGTAGAAGAGAGTAAGTCACACCAGTATCCAGAACGTGACAAAATCCAGGATATATTCCAGAGCTCAATGCCATCTTAAGCCAAGAACCAAGAGGGCAGCTCCAACTGATCTCAGAATATAACCTAGAGCCAGAAACTCAGAAGTTAAGGTCCAGGGTTAAGACCCCAGCCTCAGCCCATATCCTATCAGCAGCAAGGATTTGTCATGGTAATGAGGAAGGTTAGAATTCTCTTTTGTCTCTGTAGGGGAAAGGAGTTTAAGATATATGGGAGCCAGGAGGCCCCTGTAATCCTAGCAACATAGGAGAAAAACTGAGGATCAAAGTGTGAAGCCAGTCTAGGCAAAAAAGTCCATGAGACTCTTAATTAACCAATAAAACCTGAAAGTGGAGCTGTGGCTCAAGTGGTAGGGCTCTAGCCTAGAGGAAAAAAGGCTAAGTAAGGGACAGTGCCCAGGCAGGCCCTGAGTTCAAGCCCAGTACTAGCACAACAAAGGAAGAAAGGAAGGATGGGAGAGAGGGAGGAAGGGGAGAGAGGGGTGGGGAGAGGAAGGAAGGAAGGAAGGAAGGAAGGAAGGAAGGAAGGAAGGAAGGAAGGAAGGAAGGAAGGAAGGAAGGAAGGATATGGGCAAAAATGGGAAACAAAAAAAAAATGGGAAACAAGTGAAGAGGGTTTCCAGCAGAAGCAGGGAACTGCCTCATGGATTGCTCCTAAACCCATTCCTGCCCTCCCCCCTCCCCTGACTCTACCCAAACACACCTCGGAAGAGGGCCTGGCAGCTAAGGCTCTGAGGGTTGAGGCTGGTGAGCTTGGTGAGCAAGGGCAGACAGCTGCGAAACTCCTCGAGCATGCGCATGCAGCGCTGCAGCACTGGGCTGTGCATCCCCAGGGTCGCGCTCAGGCGCGCTGCCTCTGTCAGCCAGGCATCAGTCTTCTCCTGGGCCATGGACAGGTTGAACTGCAGGTGGAAGGGCTCACTGTCAGTCCAAGACCCTCCCTGACCACCACACCTGCAAGCCTCCCCCTCCCCCAGTACAGCTCCCAGGAGGAGTGTGGGCACCTTAAGAAAAGCCATGCACTTCCACTCGCTGAGGTTCTCAGAGATGACTCCGTAGAGGTGCCAGATGCGCTGCTGCATCACTATGGGGCGGGTTCCGAGGATGGGCAAAGACATACCACAGTCTTCCCCTGTGGGATAGGGCTGGCTAAGACCCAGGCCATTCGGAGAATGCTCTGTCAGAAGCCCATGACAGAAGAGAGGGCCCAGACAGTGATGTTGCTGCTGCTGCTGATGATGATGATGATTGGGGGAAGGGGGGGTATATATGTGTGTAAACTACTGAGCTCAACAGCAATGCTAGCAGAGCCCATCCAAAAGGCAATTATTCTGGGGAGAAAATGTCTGGGGAAATATGATGGCATGGAAAGGGAAGGGTCCCCTCTGTCTCTCAACTGCGGCACAGAAGCACCTTTGTCCTATGCCTTTGCCCATCCGGTTAAGGCCTTTGATTAGGGACAGTGCCCAGGCCCTGAGTTCAAACCTCCTGACCAAAAAAAGAAAAAAAATTGTTATCTACCTATCTAGCTTTTTTCTAGACCACCATCATGATCTAAGATACTACCTAATTTAGTTTATTATTTATTGTCTTTCTCCCTAAGTGAGAGTATCAGATACAACAGAAGTTCTTCTGTTTGCTCATTGATGTACCTCAAACCTACTAACAGAGCAAGCACTCTCAACAGATACGTCAAATGGATGAATAAACGCAACCCATTGTAGGAATGAGATGTACAAGACACTACATTGAAAACAAACTTTACAACTTCAGGGGGCAGGGAGGGAGGAGTTGGGGAGGTTGGGAGGGAAGGGATGGTAGGGGAAAAACAAAGGAGTGGGTAACAATGCTCGATAGGAAATGTACTCATTACCTTACTCATGTAACTGTAACCCCTCTGTACAGTATCTTTACAATAAAAAATATATATATATTAAAAAAAACAAATGAATGCAGCCCAAGGGATGTGTAGACAGATAAAAATGAAAAAAAAATAACAAGCTGTGGCTCATGTAAGAGTAAATGATAAAGCAGTGTGTTTCATCTCACAGGCTTCTACATTAGCGCTTAACCAATCATTTTACAACCAGTGTTGAGATATATGCCTGAAATAATTGGTCATCAATAACAATCCTAGAGTAGTATACACTTAATTTACAGTGAGCTGCTTTTCTAATGTACATAAAAGATATCAAATAACAGTCAAGGTTATTGCTGTAAGATGGTCATTCTCAGGCTGGATGTCAGGGCCTCGCAACTGTACTCCTAAGTGTAGAAGGCTGAGATCGCAGGATCCCAATAGGAGGCCAGCCTGGGCAGAAACATTTGCTAGATTTCATCCAAAAATGATCAAAAAAGCAAGGATAGAGGCACAGAAGCCTGCAGCGGCATACCACATATCTGCGTGTTCTTTCAAATACTGAATTATGTTGGACAGAGGCAACATCCACACCTGTTCTTATCTGGGGCTTGCTGTGTGGAACAGGACTAGGTCTATAATGAAGACACATAGTCCCCTACATGGGATTTTAGCCCCTGACCCCATCACATCTGAACAAAACATTCAAATTCAGCTATTTGTTTTCCCCACCATGAACCCCTTGCATCCCTACCCTTAAGAGAATATCTGAAATATGCAATATATGAAGGTTTTGTTCTGATGTACACACACACACACACACACACACACACACACACACACACACACAAACATACATATGACTTTTTGCTTTTGCAATACTAGTGCTCTATGATTTGTCATATGTTCAACCTTTTCTCTTTAGCTATTTTTAGATAAGGTCTTGTTTGCCCAGAGCTGACCTCAGATCATGATCCTCCTACTTGTACCTCCCCTATGGCTGGGACACAGGTTATGCACCATCATGCATGGCTTGTTTTTCGGTTTAGGGGTCGAGGGTCTGTAGTACCAGGGTTTACATTCAAAGCCTCACGTTTGCTAAGCAGGTGCTGTGACACTTGGGTCACAATGCTTGGCTTGGGATAGGATCCACGAATTTACACAGGCTGGCCTCAAACCACAATCTACCGATCTCCATATTGCTGGAGTTACAACAGTGTGTCAGCATTCCCAGCTTATCCAGCAATCAGTGGAGCCATGTGATTCCTGAGGCCTACTTAGGGTCACAGGGGACAATGGAGCCTGAGTCCCAATCTTTATCCCAGTTGGAGACTATGACAGGGCCACAGTAGAGGGGGTGGGGCGGTCATTTTTACCAGTCAACGCAGTGTAGGTATAGTGGAGTTCTTTGAAGTATCTGCTGGTTTTCTCATATTGATGCTCCAGAGAGATGAGCTGTAGCTCAGTTTTCCTCTGAGCTTGTGTCGGGTCCATGAAGGGACCAGTCAGGGCCTTGTCAAGCAGGCTTTCCAGCTCGGCCAGAGCTGCTGCCATCAGCTGTTGCAGCTTAGGCAGGATGGAATGCTGCTTGCTCAGCAGGAACTCAGAGGCCTGGCTCTTCTCAAACTGAAATGTCTCCCACATGTCTAGAAGCTGGTGAAGGAGGAGAAATCATAGGGTCATGAGTATATGTGGCTTCGGGAAGAGGGGGAACAAAGAGGAGTGGGAGACATCGTGACCTATCCTCTCACCGAGATGTCCAGTGCCTCATTCTCACTACTGAATACATTAAAGTGGTTGCGGATGAGTTCATGGAGAGACCGGATGTATTCTGTTCGTGTTTCCAGCTGGTTGTACTGTTCACTGGCTTCATTCAACTGCAGGGGTTACAATGTGAGACACCAGCACCCCCCACGACTCTGCCTGCCCATCCCTTTTGACCCACCCCCAACGGGAGGCTCCACACCCAATCACAACCTCTTAACCAACTGGGATCAGTGGCAATCTGGGATCAGATCTCTTCTGACCAAGGTCTATGAAAGCAGTTTTGGTGTCTCCCACCAGCTGTCACCCTGATAGGTCAACATAGCCCTATCTGATTGGCACAGAGAGAAGAATCCTATCTCTGAAAGCGAGACTGCCTCTCTCATTAGTGCAGCGTCCTGACATGAGGAAACCCAGGGCCGTGTGAACAAGGCAAGACTTCTCAAGTGCAGATTGGCGTGTGAACAGGGTTTAAGAGCACCAAGCCTCACTGAAGCTCAAGGGAGATGGGAACCGAGTGTACTGAGCCTCTGGACAGGGTGGGCCCTGGCCAAGCTGTGGAGGCCGGGCGGGGAGAACCTACCTTCTGGGAGCATCGTGCAATGGTGTGAATGTCTGAGCTGATGGTCTGGAAGACTTTCATGAAGTTGCTGAGCTCGGACATTAGTTGCTTACTGCGTTTGCAACACTCGTCCTGCACCTGGGCAAGAAGGTCCGTCCTAATTTTGTTCAGCCTGGATGCTGGAGACAGGAGAGTCAGGGGTTAGAGGGTGCACAGAAAAAGGGAGGGGGGAGTTTCTGGGTGGGTTATGGGTCCAGAGTAGAAGAAGGCTGATGGGGGGGGGCGTATCAAGAACTCTTTCCCATACTCATTAAATGCCGGCTGCACCTCTGCTCAGTTTCCAACAAATTGCTTCAGACTTGTGCCCAGTACATGGAGTGACTGAGCAAGGACTGAGTATAGTGGTGCTGTACCTATATTTCCAGTTACTTTTGAGGTGGAAAGTAGAGGATTAAGATCCAAGGCCAGTTCAGGCAAAAAGCCTGAGAAAAACAGCTAACTCAGAAAAACAACTAAAAGCAAAAAAATGCTAGAGGCATGGTTTAATGGGCAGAGTACTTGCCTAGAAAATGCCAGAGCACAAGATCCTTATATATCCCCCTGCACCAGAATCAACTCCAAATGGATCAAAGACCTCGGAGTTAAAACAGACAGAAAACATTACAGGATGGAATAGGAGAAACCCTAGGTCTCCTTGGCACAGGCTGAAATTTTCTTAATAGAGACCCAGAAACACAACAAATCAAAGAAAGGTTGGATAAATGGGATTGCATGAAATTGTAGAGCTTCTGCATGGCAAAGGACATAGCTAGCAAGATCACTAGAAAGCCCACGGATTGGGAGAAGATCTTCACTAGCCATATAACGGACAAGGGTCTCATATCTAAAATATACCTGGAAACTCAAAAAATTAAATCCCCCAACAACAAATCCTCAATAAATGCCCAATAAATAAGTGGGCTAAAGACTTAAAAAGAAACTTCTCTGAAGAGGAAAGAAGGATGACCAATAGACACAGGAAGAAATGGTCAACCTCCCTAGCCATAAAAGAAATGCAAATCAAAACATCATTGAGATACCACCTCACCCCAGTTAGAATGGCTATAATCAAGAACTGTAATAACAACAGATGCTGGAGGGGATGCATTGCTTGTGGGAGTGTAAACTTGTTCAACCACTTTGGAAAGCAGTATGAAGGTTCCTCAAAAGTCTCCACATAGAGCTCCCCTATGACCCAGCAATTCCACTTTTGGGCATTTACCCAAATGATCACAAACAAGACCATACTAAAGCTACCAGCGCAACTATGTTCATTGCAGCATTATTTACCATAGCTAAGATATGGAACCAACCCAGATGCCCCTCAGTAGATGAATGGATCAAGAAAATGTGGTATATATACACAATGGAATTTTATGCCTCCATCAGAAAGAATGACATTGCCCATTTGTTAGGAAATAGAAAGGCTTGGAAAAAATTCTATTAAGTGAAGTAAGCCAGAAGCAAAGAAACATAGGTCCCATGGTTTCCCTTATTTGCAATAACTAGTATATGTCTGAGACAAGCAGAAAAGGTCAGATATGTTGATGTTAGTTGAAATAAACCCCAAGATAAGTATTCAAATGTTTTTTCTTTCATGCGATTGTTTCTAACATATTTATGATTTTTTTTGTTGTTTTGTATGTCTCTCCCCCACGCTATAACCCCTGCTTTCATGGTAGTTGATATCAGTATAATTTGTGGAGGGGAAATGAAAAAGCAAATTGTTTAAATAGGGATACAGGAGGACCCATTGCAACAATGAGATGTACAAGTTGTTATGTTGAAAAATGAACTTTACAACTTTGGTGGGGGGAGGGGAGATGGGAAGGGACAGGCAGGGGAAACAAAGGAGGAGGCAACAATGCTTGATAAGAAATATACTCATTATCTTGCCCATGTAATTATAACCCCTCTGTACGGTATTTTCATAATAATAAAAAATAAAATAATAATTTAAAAAAATGCCACAGCATGAATTCAAAACAAAGTGAATGAGAGAAACAAAGTTTTCTCACTAGATAGGAGCAGAGACATGTTTGTACATGAGCAATCGGGAGCCCAAAGCGTGGCATAGCGCAGGGGCTGGGAGCCTGAGAAGTTCTGGCACGCTGTCCTTCCTTGGAGGAAAGGACACTGGAGTTGACTGTGTTGCGTAGTTTAGGTTGTGTTGTGTTTGTGTGTTTCCCTTTTGTGGTGCTCTTGGGGCTTCAACTCAGAGCCTTCTACTCACTCAGCTCGTTTGTGCAGCTGGCACTCTTACCACTTGAACCAAGCCTCCAGCTTGCCTTTCTGCTGGATAATTTTGGAGATGGAATCTTACAGATTTTTCTGCCCAGGCTGGCTTTGAATCGTGATCCTCAGGATTTCAGCCTCCTAAGTAGCTAGTGTTATAGGTGTGAGCCACTGGCACGGAGATGCCCTGTTCATGAACAGCAGGTGCCTGAGGCAGTGTGCTATTGTCCTACTCTTACTCTCTCTCCTCTAGCAGAAGAAATACAAAGAAAAGGGTATAGTCTGGCTTTGGTTTTTGTTTTGTTGTTTTGAGACAGGGTCTCTCTGGCCTTGTAGAGCTAGCTTTGGACTCACTACATAGCCCTCAGGCTGGCTTCAAACTGAAAACCCTCCTTTCTCTGCTTCCCAAGAGCTGGGATTACAGGTGTTCACCACAATGCTCAGCTTGGTTTTTGCATTTAAGTATTAAAGGAAATCTGCTCAGGTGGCTGTAAGGTTAGAAGATGATCCTGTCCTCAGTAATATTCATTGTCTCAGAAAGTGAGAATAATACTCATGTGAGACTTCATCTTAGATCTGATATTCTTAATTATAAAGCACACATTATGTTAGGTACCACTGAAAAGGAAAATGGGCCAGGCACTAGTGGATCATGCCTGTAATCCTAGCTACTCAGGAAGCTGAGATATTAGGATCACAGTTCACAGCTAGCTTAGGTAGGAAAGTCTGTGAGACTCTTTCTTTTTTTTTTTTTTGGTCTGTGAGACTCTAATCTCCAATTGAACACCAGATAAACCAAAAGTGGCGCTATGGCTCAAAATGGCAGAGCATTAGCCTTGAGCAAAGAGAGCTCAGGAATGGTGGCTAGGCCTAATGTTCAAACCTCATGACTGACAAAAAAAATTAAAAGGAAAATGATACCCTTTGAACTCTGACAGGCCATCCATTACAAGATGCTTAAGTTCAGAGATGTTAAAATATGCCCAGAAGATCAAAATATAAAATAAAAATATGGTATTCCACCAAATTCAGTACATGGAGGGCTTATAGTATACTAAAAATTATTTCAAGTACTTTTACCTACCATAACTAATCTTTTTTTTTTTTTTAGGTCGTGGGGCTTGAACTCTGGGCCTGGGCGGTGTCCCTGTGCTCTTCAGCTCAAGGTGAGCACTCTACTGCTTGAGCCACAGCGCCACTTCCATTTTTCTAGTAGTTTATTGGAGATAAGAGTCTCACGGACTTTCCTGCTGGGGCTGGCTTTGAACTGTGATCCTCAGATCTCAGCCTCCTGAGAGGCATGAGACACCGATGCCCGGCACCATAACCAATCTTACCTTCACAAATTTCCTTTGAGTATTTTATTTAGACTTCTTTTAGAAATAAGAAGACTGAGGCTCAGAAAGGTTAAGTAACTTGATCAACACTGCATAGAGGTAGAGCAAGGATTTAAACTCAGGCTGCCCAAGTTTGAATTATATAGCCTTTATTCCACTATATCTTATTATAAACATGGATAAAATATCTACACGTATACACATGTATGTGCGCATATGTGATCTTTATGGGTTTTTCCAAGATGGAATTAAAACACACCTCTGATTGGTCAAGAAATAGCAAAATGGGCTTTTACAAAAGTAAATAAAAAAATAGCAGAGCATGGGTATATTTTGGGATTACTAGTGTACTAATAATCTTATTTCAAAGTCTTTTAAAGGTCACCTCATTTAAGTGTGTGCATGTAAGTAAATATTATTTGAAGAGTAGACTTGCCTATCTCCTATTAGCATCTCTGTAACTGAAAAATGAATTCACGGGCTCTGAGGACAGGTACTGGAGAGATATTTCTGAGCCATGGAAAAAGAAGCCAGAAGAGCCAGGCACTGAGAGCTGAGACAGACAAAACCTAAAGATGGGGAGCTTATAGAGGGCACCTATGTCGAAGAGAATGCCAAGAGGTCCACCTATACTTAAAAAAATATTCCTCTGGCCCCTAACAGTAGACAGGCAATGTTGCCACATTTGGATCAGTAGCAGCAGCTAGGTAAAGGCTGGGGGAAGGCAACAGTGACACCATATGGCATAAAGGAGAAATGGTTTGATAAAATATCAAGGCTCGGGACAGAGAGCTGAAGCTGGATGAGAAAACATATGTGAAATTCAGGAGGCAGAAGGATGCAGTGATAATTTGGATGTAGCAGATTTAAAGAGCAGAAGGAGGAGGAGTAAAGGATGATCGCTAGTTTACCACTGAGGCCAATGTACCAGAGATGTTCAGTACGCTGTTTGCTGTTCAAGGAAGCTCAGGAACAAGACGCCCAGTTAGAGATAAGAAGATAAACTGTGATCAGCAAGAAGGGTGAAAGAAGACAGAAGAGGAAGAGATGAAGTGAAAAATTACTACTGCTTTCCATAATCAGCACTAGGAATACTGTAATAATATCGCATGGAGTCCTTGCTCTTGTTCTGAGTGATGACATTAGCATACTCTGGCCACAAAGAAACTGAAGCTCAGTGATCTTGCCATGAAGCAAGTGAAAGCCAGCCAGGATCCTTACTTCCCATCAGCTCCTCTAAAAAGACCATTTGATCTTTTTTTTTTTTTTGCCAGTCCTGGGGCTGGGACTCAGGGCCTGGGCACTGTCCCTGACTTTCATTTGCTCAAGGCTAGCACACTACCGCTTGATCCACAGCACCACTTCCAGCCTTTTCTGTTTAAATGGTACTAAGGAATGGAACCCAGGGCTTCATGCATGCAAGGCAAACACTTACCACTAAGTTACATTCCAAGCCCAACCACTTGATTTTTGAACTAGGAATCAAGAAGCTAACAGACCAGAAAGACAGGGGAGAGGTGTTGCAAAGCCCACCTGAAACAGGGCAAGAAGGAGAGCAGACCAATCACAGACCTCTGTTCCTGCCTTGCCAGCATTACACTCCTTACATTCATCAATGCCAGGAAGGCTTTGCAAGAAAGTACATTCAAGATCACTCTTTCCAGGCCCCAGTTCTAAGGCCTCTTACTTTCATAAAACAGGTGAGGGTGAGGGTGTGTGTGTGTGTGTGTGTGTGTGTGTGTGTGTGTGTGTGTGTGTTCGATGGGTCCAATAATATTTAGGCTCTGCAGGAAGTGGGCACTATTCATTATTACCAACCTTGGTGAGCCTAAGCGAGGATTAGAAAAATCTTCCTGTTTCCTAAAAAACAAGTCAGTGACTTCTTAACCTACCCTACCATGAACCTCTACAAGCCTACCTCCTAGACTGATTCCTGGAACTAGAGTACAATAGCATGTGTCATCCTTCCAATACCTAGGGAGCAAGAGAAAAAGAGGAGACACCACTGAGGTGTAAACCAGATTTTCTCAGGGGCATCAACAAGTGGGCTTTGACCTAGCAGAGATGGGAAGCAGCAAAAAGAGATAAACTTAGATGGGCTAAAGAGAAAGCAGAGAGAAGGCAGCTACTGAGTCCCCCATTCTATGTGGAAACTTTAGGGTACCCTTGAGCTAATATGAACCAGTCACTTAGTAGAAATCATGCTATGATGTGTTATAATAGAAAGAGGTCGCCAGCCAGGCACCAATGGCTCACACCTGTAATCCTAGCTACTCAGGTGGCTGAGTTCTGAGGATTGTGGTTTGAAGCCAGCCCAGGCAGGAAAGCCTATAAGGTTCTTATCTCCAATTAACCACCAAAAAGCCAGAAGCAGAGCTGTGTCTCAACTGGTAGAGTGCTAGCCTTGAACAGAAAAAGTGAAGAGATAGTACGCAGGCTCCTTAGTTCAAGCCCAAGTACTGGCACCCAAAATAAAGTCCCCCAGAGCTCCCAAATGGCAGGAGACACCAAACATAACAGAGGAATTGATCACCAGTGAGATTGGAGAAGGTTTCTATGTTGTGGGGTGAGGGATCCTGAAATAAGTGCTGTGGGCATGACCAGCCTCAACGAAGGATTGATTCAAAACCCCGAAGATCTGTTATGCTAGCAAGAGCCAATGTGGGGCTGAGCCAGGAAAGGAAGGCACTAGGAACTCTACTAGGCCACAGCTACCACAACCCGGGACACAGCAACCGAAGCACAGGAGAGCTGAGGCCACATAAGGATGTATAATACTGTGCAAAGAAGAGCATGCAACTAGACAGCCCCCACCCTCGCAGAACCAGATGGCATCTGGGGAAGGAAAAGGGAGCAGAGGACACTTAGGAATAAAAATAACCCAGAACTGTGGTATAATCAATTACCCACAATAGACTGAACTAGACCAAAGTGGCCACTTAAAATGAAGAGAGCTCCTTTTAATTAGGAGGGTCATATTCTTTTCTCACTAAACCCACAGAAGTTAAGAATTATAGAGTGAGGAAAGACCTGCTAGAGAATTTCTATACATGCAAATTGTGGCATAAGATCTGATTTGCTATATGCATGGCGGAAAGGGGGTGGCGGGGGGGAACACGATGGACCCTTGATTCTTGAGAACATCTGGGAAGAAACAGAGATCAATAGCCCAAGCAGCAGGTTGAGTTTTTTTTTCTCCACCATATTGGTATAAACTATGTCTATACCATAAAAATACAATGTGTGGGATGGGAAGGGGAAACAAAGGAGGAGGCAACAATGCTTGATAAGAAATGTACTCATTACCTTGCCCATGTAATTGTAACCCCTCTGTGTGCTGAGTGCTGGTGGCTGACACTTGTAAATCTAGCTACTCAGGAGGCTGAGATCTGAGAAACAAAGGTTCAAAGCCAGCCTGGGCAGAAAAGTCTGTGAGGCTCTTATTTCCAATTAAACACCAGAAAAAAAAAGCTGAAAGTAGAGCTGTGGTTTGAGTGGTAGAGTACCACCTTAAGCCAAAAAAAAATCTAAAGATAGCACCTAGGCCCTGAGTGCAAGAAAAAAAAATGAACTGATTTTTTAAAAGAAAAAAATTATTGAACAACAAAAACATGATTCCTAAGAAATTCAGGGAATACGTGGAGCTATAATAAGAGGTTATTTGTTAGTAATCCTAAATTTGATGGAAAAGGGGAAGGGGCTTTAGGATGCTCCTATTGTTCAAAGAGGGGCCTGTGCCAAAGGTAGACAGCTGTGGCCCAAGGCAGGCTATGTGACTACAGGGAAGGAATGGAGCCAGGCAATACTCACTTAGCTCTGTCTTTACATCATAGCAGCTCAGCAGCAGCAGCTTGCCTTTTGTCAGCAATTGAATAGGGATTTCAGAGACTTGGGCCTGCCAAGCCTTCAGACGGGTCACCAGTGCTATGTAGTTCTTGACAGGACAGCCTCGCATGTTCTCCAGCTTCTCAGGCCCCCAGCTCTGCAGGAACTCATAAATGACTGTAACCCATCGATGGTCTTTGCAGAATTCCCGCACCTCACACCGCATGGCCTAGGGGAAGACAGGGGGCTTAAGATAGAGGCAGTGGCTAGGAAGAGAAGTGAGCAGCATTGCAGGCCTGAAACCTCAGCTTCTTACCTCCAGCAGTGCCTTTTGTGTAGTCAGTGCATGCTGGATTCGGAAGCTTCTGTCCAAATCCACCTGCAGCTGGTCATAATTGTGAGGCAAATAATGGCCCCGCAGTCGGTGCCCACAGATCTCCAGGAAATGAGTGGTATCTGCATGAGTCTTCCAGGGTAACACGAATCCAACATTAGGGCCACAGAACATTTTAACAGCATAGGTGGGCTGGTTGTGGAAATCAGGTATTGGGGATTCTGAGTCTTGGTCTGAGGTCTCCTCATTTTTCCCTAGTGGAACAATTGAGGTTAATGGTCTATGAGAGCCCTCCAGAGTCCCCATGAAGCCTTTCTCTCCACCCACATATCCTCACATATCCAATTCTTGCTCATAACTTTACACACATCAATAGCATCAACACAGTTCATAGAGAGAACTTACAACTTAGAATTCAAGAGGTACAGAATGAAATTTACTGTTTGTCCATGCAGAAAGGGAAATGTACAACATGTTAACTGGGCTACGGAGTAATGAGATCTGAACAGCAAAGCCACTCTAGGCTAAGCATCTGGACTTCCTGTTGATTGGCAAATTGAAATGTCTCCCCTACCATGAGGAACCAAGCACACTGCCTCTGCTGTGCAGAATCTGCAGAGTAGATGAACGTGCTCTACCTTTTCTCTTAATTCTGAATGGAAAAATCATATGATACATAGCTGCAAGAGAGTCTGGGAATTTGTAATTTGTAGCACATCATCCTCTGTGGAATAGAAGAAGATGTAGGTGGAAAGAGATGCTGATCAGGCCAGTCCTCACTATCTGAGCCTGGCACACCCCCTTCACTTTTGAAGAACTAGTTAACTATCATGATGAATAGTTGTGCTAAAAATTTTTCTCCAAATAAAGGTGGGAAAGCATCAAAATCACATCTGTTTACACACATTTGTTGTAAGAAAATCTAAAGTACAGAGTGCTCCCAAGGTTTGGGCCTCCGATCTCTACTGTATTTGTACACACCCTCAAGATCTTACTTGAAGATTATAAGCATGAGCCACTAAGATTATAAGTATGAGCCACTGGTGTCTGGCTACAGTTATCTTTGATTCTTCTCTCACATAGAGCATATCTAGCCATCACAATATCTAGTGATGTGATGTTAACATAGATCATCGGCCTGACTGAATTGTAAGATAACTAGGATCTTAGAAAGCACATCTCTGGGTGTGTCTGTGAAGGGGTGCCCAGAGACGACTACATCACGAAGGCTCTGACTCCATCACTGTCTTTGGTACCCCAGCCTCAGCTACTCAGGAGGTTGAGATCTGGAGGATTATGGTTTGAGGCCAGCCTGGGAAGCACAGTTTGCCAGACTCCATCTTCAAAATAATCAGCAAAAAGTGGGGGTATAGGTGTGGTAGATAAGAGTGTTGGGAGATGCTGGAAGTAGAATGTAAGATCTAGTTTGAAGAAGTGGGTCATGGGGACGGGAGAAGGTCTTTCTTTCTTTCTTTCTTTCTTTCTTTCTTTTTTGGTCAGTCGTGAGGCTTGCACTCTAGGCCTAGGCGCTTGCCCTCAGCTCTTCAGCTGAATGCTAGTGCTCTACCACATGAGCCATAACATATCACTTCCAGTTTTCTGGTGATTTATTGGAGTCTCACAGACTTTCCTGCCCGGGCTGGCTTGAACCGCCATCCTCAGATCTCAGCCTCTTGAGTAGCTAGGATTACAGGCATGAGCCACCAGCACCCCGCTAAATAAAACTCTTATAAAAAAAAAAAAAGTTCCTGCTTTGGCCTGGTGGATTATTCTGCTAAGACAATATCAGCAAATACTGAAAGAAAAAAAATGAATTGCTTTGGGATAAAGAAGGATTTTTGAAATGTAAAGTTTTGTCTTTATGGATTTTTCCCAGATGGACTTAAAGACACACATCAGAAGACACACCTCAGATGGTTCAAGAAATAGCAGCTTATGGGTATATTTGGGGATTATTAGTGCACTGTTCATCATTTTTTAGTCTTTTAAAAGGCACCTTATGTAAGTGCACTTTGCCTTATTCAAACTAGCCAACTGAGAACAGATTGTGAATGTGATCGCAACCAATCTGGGCAGAGGGGTGGGGCCTGCTGTGTTAGGAATTAATAGAGGAGCAGCCTGCCTGCTTGCCAGATTTCTGGCTGGTGGCACACACTTTTGCACAAGTAAATTTTGCTCTGCTGAGACAGTCCTCTGTTTGCATTGTGACTCCCGTGGCTCTTGAGGAGCACATGATATTTGAAATAGTGCAGACCACTCACACAGCTTCAAGTCCCTCCTCGATCAGCAGTTATGAGGAAGGAGACAGAGCAAAGATAATGAAGCGCTGGAAACTCCCAACAGCCAGCAAACGTTTTCTAGAAAGTGGAGTGAGGGCTGATTTGCATAATAACAAGTAAAAGGTAAGGCCCAGAGTAACTGAAACAACTGATGCCCTGTGACCTCTTGAAAACTGGGGACAGTAAGGGGAAACTGCTGGGAGTATAATAAAAATGGAGAAGGATGAAAGCTGGAGAAAAAGAAGGCCCAGACAAAGGTATGGCCAGGAAATAACAGGAAGCCAGCTGACACTTTTTGTTTGTTTTAGCACTGTAGAACTATGGTTCTATAGAAGGTTAACTGAGTGGTCAGAAAACTATCTTGAATCACCTCTCCTTCAGAAACTACTTAAGAAAAGCTAACTACATGAACAACAAAGAAGAGAGAAAGAGGAAATGACAACTAGTGGCTATAGAGTTGTTGGGGAATGATGCAAATGTTCTAAATTGTTGGTGATGATGATTGAATGGCCCTGAGAACATATTAAAGTGCTGGAGTGTATGCTCTCTGTGGCTGACTTCTGAGATGAAGAGTATATCTCAGTAAAGCTGTCTTGAAAATCACAAAGCAAACTGTCCTGAAACAAAGATTTAAAAGGTGAAAGATTTATGTGATTCAAATAAAAACAAAAAATATATTTTAAAAGATTTAAAACTATATTAAGAGAGAAAATATGAGACTCCTCCCCCATAATATTTCATGCCAAAGCACATTCTACTCAGATTGCTACATATCATGAAAAAGGAAAAAAAATAGGCAAAAGAGAGAGACGAATTGAAGCCAGGTACTGGTGGCTCATGCCTATAATCCTAACTACTTAGAAGACTGAAATCTGCGGATTACAGTTCAAAGCCAGCCCAGGCAGCAAAGTCCTTGAGTCTCTTATCTCCAATTCACTACCAGAAGACTGGAAGTGGTACTGTGGCTCAAAGTGGTAGAATGCTAGCCTTGAGCAAATCAATTAGGGATAATTCCCAGACACGAGGTTCAAGCCCACACTGACAAAAAAAATAAATTAAAAAAAAGAGAAATTGCATTTAAGGGAAAAATTAGATCGTCAACACACAATTCACAGTAGTAAAGACAGTGAAGTAATGTATTTCAGATAAATAATGGGAAAAAAGGCATACAACAATACTTTCACACCTTGCAACACTAACTCCAAAAAGATATAAACTGTTATCAACAGAGAAGAACTTGAGAATTTTGTTTCTGAAAGCTCTCCTAAAGAATATATTGAGAATGAGCTTCAGACAGAACAAAATTACTAAAGAATGTCAATGTAAGGAGTGCTACTGAGCTTCACTCATGACTAATTGCAGAACTAAGATTGAGTGACAGGGGAAAGAGTAAGCATAGTGTGATGTAACAATGTAGAAAATGCTTGCCAGGTAGGGAAAGCCTCTCTGAAGACTGGGACTTTGGAAGAGGAAGCTAGCTTCCTCTTCCTTCCTGTTTGGTGGCAAAGCTTACCCCTTAGAAAAGCTGAGGATGTCAGACATTTGATTTCTTGTTTGCTTTTTTTTTTTTAATAACTAGAAGTAGTAACATTCTCTAGATTTTGACAAGAAGATTTAAAAGTGAATCTGCTAGGGATATTTCTGGATAAGATTATTTTTTTCTTGTGAAAACCAAGACTCTGGCATAGAGAATTACCCTGGTGACTTGTTGCCCACTTTCTCTCTAGTTTTGCTTAAGCAAAGGCAGTTAAAGCCAGACACCAGTGGCTTGCACCTATAAATCCTAGCTTCTCAGAAGGCTGAGATCTGAGAATTGTGACTCAAAGCCATCCCAAGCAGAAAAGTCCTTGAGTCTTATTTCCAATTAACCACCCAAACAACAGAAGTGAAGCTCTGTGGTTCAAATGGTACAGTGCCAGCCTTGAGTGAAAAGGCTTGAGTTCAAGGACAGGCACCATTAAAAAAAAAAGACAAAGGGGATTGGGGAAGATGGTGGAGTATGATGATACATGCCTGTAATCTCAGCACTCAGATAGGTGAGACAGGAGGAGTGTGAGTTTGAAGCAACCTAGTATATAATAATAATAATATATACCCTCTCTCTCTTAAAAAAAAAAGGAGGAAGAAGAGGAGGAAGAGAGGGGGGAAAAGAAGGAAAAGCTTAGAGTTGCACATTGTTTTAGAACTATAAACAATAAGCCTAAAGAGGGCTGGGAATGTGGCTCAGTGGTAGAGTGCTTACCTAGCATGCATGAAGCCCTGGGTTTGATTCCTCAGCACCACATAAACAGAAAAAGGCAGAAGTAATACTGTGTTTCAAGGGCTAGAGCACAAGTCTTGAGCACAGAAAGGCTCAAGGACGGTGCCCAGGCCCTGAGTTCAAGCCCTACAACTGACAAAACAACAACAACAAAAAAATAAGAAGCCTGAAGATTTTTTTAAAATGTCAATAACAAATGTTTGCAGCCTCTCCAGCACACTCTCCCTTCAAAGATGTTCTGCCCTGACCTGTCAATAAATGCAGGAAGGTGTGTGGAAAAGATATAAAGACCCTAGTTCATAGCATTTAATCTTTTGCCACATAATCATACTTAACAGCACTTTTGAGCCATTAAATCCTGGAAGCACTTACCTCAACATGTTTTGGTTTTATGGTTTAGGCCACTGTAACTGAGCCAAGCTGAAAATATATCTTTCTTGGGAGAACCATAAATTCTCCTTGGATTATGTTAGGATTATGTAGTCCCAAACCAACTCACACATTCAGTCTCACATATTAATAACCAAGATAAGCATAGTAGAAGATTACAAACAACTCCATTACACACATCCTTCTAAGAAGAGGTACCTTTACCAATCAGTTTACATGACACATTCCCTTGTGGTAGTTTGTGGCTACATGATTGTCTACAATATGATAGTCCTTATTTTTTTTCATTTGTGTGTGTGTGTGTGTGCGCACACTTGAACTCAGGGTCTCAGACTCTTCTTGGCTTTTTCACTCAAGGCTGGTACTCTATCACTTGAGCCACAGCTCTGCTTCCAGGTTTTTATTGTTTAATCAGAAATAAGAGTTTCTTGGGTTTGTCTGCCCAGGCTGGCTTTAAATATCTTGACCCTGGACTACTCAACTTCCTGAGTAGCTAGGATTATGGGTATGTGACTCACCAGCATGGAGCCTATTTTCTCAATTTCTCACACATACGGGAAAACTTGACTAAAAGATCATATAGTGTCAAGGGTGGAACTGGTGTTGCACAGCTCAAGTCATTTGAAAATAGTCATCTGGAAGCAGAACACTCAGTGGAAATAGAGATAGGTGATCTTAGGAATACAAGGAACTGGAAAGATACACAGGGAGAAACAGAGCTAAAAAGATTAGTCATACTTGGAGAGACAGGGTCACTTTGCCTGACTTTCTAGTTCCAATTTCTGTGAAGGTTGATGCTGCTCTTTCTTTACTGCCTTTGAATTGAGTAACTTTGTTCTGTGACAAGGTTGAAGAACAATGACTCAAGGTGCCAAGACCTACATGGAGCTATACAAAGTCAATCCCAGTGTGACTACATACAAACAAAAGCGAGTCTATTTTTAATGTAGTTTTGTGGAAGGAACATATAAAATAAAGGAGAAACCACCAATAACAATATGATAGTCCTAGAATGAGAGCAAAATAAAGTTTGCTTCAAATAGAAAACCAATCATTTCAGAGTAATTAGGAACACACACACACACACACACACACACACACACACACACACACACATTACATATAAATTGATATCGAGCTGTATTTTAAAATATCAGCCAGGCACCAGGGGCTCACACCTGTAATCCTGGCTACTCAAGAGGCTGAGATCTGAGGATCATGGTTCAAAGCCAGCTCAGGGAGGAAAGTCTGTGAGGCTCTTATCTCCAATTAACCACTCAAAAACTGGAAGTGACACTATGGCTCAAGTGATAAAGTTCTAGCCTTAAGCATAAAAAGGCTCAGGGACTGTGCCCAGGCCCACAGTTCAATAAAATATCAATCTAATTTTGAAAGTTCTAAATAATATAGATCTTTACTGTAGATTTCCTTGAGTGAGGGATTCTGATAGTTCACACAGAGCTAAAATTGTCAACTCTTCATCTCTTTAAAGTTTCACAAAGCACCAAGAAGAAAAAGTCTGTTTCTTCTCCTATCTAAAATCATCTTGCTCCCACACTGTTTCTTTTAATACTTTTTCCTGGTCATACTATTCAAATCTATCTCTTTTGAAAGACCCCAGTGAAATGTGAAATTTCCTGGTGAAGACAAAATGAACAGTCACATCTTTTTCATTCTTTGTTTTGTATCTCTAAGCTAACTTCAACACCATCTCAACTAAAATGCACACTAAAGATTATGTAAAAAGATTAAATACACCATTATATAAAATAATGCATTACATAACCTTCATGATATAAAAGATAATATGAAGGCCTGTTTGGGAAGCTGAGGAAGGATGATGTCTATAGAGTTCAAATCCACGTGGACTACATAGACTATGTCTCAAAAAATGTATAATGAGACAATCCTTTGTCTTTTTTCACTGTACCGGATTTAGCTTGCCACAAATATAAAAAAGACACTCAGAAGATCTTAGTCAAATAATTGTCATACTTTACACTAACATAAGAATATCATGGTTGGTAGTTTTTGAACTTGACATTTGACAGATGAGAAAAGTGATTGATGATCTGATGGGTTTTTTTCTAAGTTTTGAACTAAGTAAAATTTTGAGAGAAGACTACAGAAACATTGGATGGTAATATTAATATTCTACTTTTTTTTTGCTCCAAGATGTTCTGTGAAATACGTTGGAGTACACAGAGTAAAGATGGGGGATATATGACCCTGACATTTTGTTATTAATACATTCTGTATTCTTTTAGTGACTAGACTATAATCAGTGTATGTTTCTACTGTAGAGGAGTTTTATTTTTCATATACAAATAGGGATTTGAAATAATTTTAAAATTTGGTTAAAAAGATGTATAAATCTTGCCTTCATGAAATAAATATTTCTTAGTTTGATGTGTGCTTCTTAAATATTACTAAAAGGGGTTTATCTGCTACATATTTCTTATTAAAAATAACTTCAAAAAAACTTCATTCTGTATTTTTTTATTTTTATTTTTGCCAGTCCTGAGGCTTGAACTCTGGGCCTGCACACTGTCCCTAAGTTCCTTTTGCTCAAGGTTAGCACTCTACTAGTTGAGCCACAATGCCACTTCCTGCTTTTGCTCTTTATGTGGTATTGAGGAATCAAACGCAGGGCTTCATGCATGCTAGGCAAGCATTCTATCATTAAGCCACATTCTCAGCCCCAATAACTTCATTCTTGTAAAGAATTTAGGGAAAATCCTTATAGAGATTCAAAACTTTGGTTCTGTTTCAGTATAGTAATCCCAATTTGCTGATCTGATTTTGCAGATCTTATTTGCTTCAAATTTTGTAGGAAAAAAAATGTAAGGAATGGCATTACCCATCTACTGAGATTCAAAAGTTAACATTTTACCACATTGCTTTCCACCCTGAACCACGCCTATAGCTCTCATGTTACTATTCTATTTTTTCCATTATTTTTTATTATCCTTAAGTAGTTGTACAAAGGGCTTCAATTCAACATGTCTGTTTCTTATATTAGTACTCTAACTAAGGGAAATATGAAGATGTATTGCTTCCCTGATGATGAACAGGTGCAGGACTGAAAGGTCAACATTATCAATTAATTCCTCCATATGAAATGAAAAGCAGCTGTACAAAATAAAGCAAGTGTCAGGGCTGGAAAGGTGGCTCAGTGGTAGAGTGCTTGCCTTGCATGCCTGAGGCCCTGGGTTCGATTCCTCAGCACTACCTAAGCAGAAAAAGCTGGAGGTGGCGCTGTGGCTCAAGTGGTAGGGTACTAGCCTTGAGCTGAAGAGCTGAGGGACAGCGCCCATGCCCAGAGTTCAAGCCCCATGACAGACAAAAAATAACTAACTAAATAAATAAATCAAGTGTTGAACAAGAAACACTCCTCAAGCAAGTATAAATTAACTTAGCAACCAAATTCAACAGTAAATAAAATGCAACTATTTCACTAGAGAAAAACTTTATGGACTTTTGGGCAAAGTAGGGGAAGGGCAATTTAATTTACTCTTAAATATACACCCTCACTACATACACATGTGTATGTAAGCTTACAAGTATTGGATAGTGAACAAAAACACACTGGGTCCAACTGCCCTACCTTTCAAGAGCTGCTTTATTCCGTACTGAAGGACTAAGTTCCATGGGCTGGGACACCTGTCTACTTCCCATACTCTACATGTGCCCCCCCCTCCAGCCTTCATACCCCCGACGAAGTCTTTTTAAATACCTTTTTTACTCAGGACATTCTTGGAGGGCTTCAGAGTTGCAGACCGTACTACCTTCATACCAGGATACAGAAAAGAGGCAGAAATGGACAAACTATAAGAAATTCTAACCAGACTGGGAACTTCGCATTGCACAAATGGTGGTAGAAGTAGGAAGTCCAATAGCCAGACCCCTGCTCAATCCACAATACCTGCAGGGTAGAGGTCTTGATAGACTTCACACCATCAATGAGATTACGGATTATATTTTCAATAGGGGGCATGGGAGACAGCTGGTTATATTCATTAAAGATAAGCCGTGATAAGAGGAAGGGGCTTTTCCTGGGGGCCTGTAAAAGAAGCAGAAGAGGGTATATGGAGCATGTGTACCCATTCCCCCCTCCCCACTACATGACCCTTGGTTGCCTTCCCATCTTCACCCACCACCTCACTTGGATAATATTAGCCACAAAAGAGGTTATCTCATCTTCCAAGATTGAAACCAGGCTCTGACAAGTCATGTAGTTGACCAAGCGGTGCAAGCTTCCTAACTGTAGCAGCCAGGTCTCTGTCTGACTCAGCTTCTGCTGCAGCTGCTGGAGCAGGACCTTGTGAAGGTGCACTGAGCCATGGTCTATCCTGGGTCTTCTGCAGTTCTGCACTTGCTCCTGCAGGCCATGTTGCATGTGGTGTGTGTCCTCATGAATCTGTCAGGGTATAAGAGGAAACTCATCAAAGAGAGGAGGATGGAGACTAAACTACTCACCCACTGGCCTGTGCAAACTATCATGTACTGATGTCTGAAACATAGATATGCACATGAAGAGCTCCTTTTGTGTATGTGTTTGCCAGTGCTGGGGGGGGGGGTGGGAGAGGGGAAGGGGCTTGAACTCAGGGACTGGGCATTGTCTTAGCTTTTTCACTCAAGGCTGGCACCCTACCACTTGAGGCTCCACTTCTGGCTTTTTGGTGGTTAATTGGGGATTGTAACAATGAGATGTACAAGACACTATGTTGAAAAATGAACTTTTCAATTTAGGCCCGGGGAGGGGGAATGTAGTTATGGAGGTGGGAGGGAAGGGATGGTAGGGAGAAAACAAAGGAGGTAAGAAATGTACTTATTACCTTGCTCATGTAACTGTAACCCCTCTGTACAGTATTGTCACAATAAAAAACTTTTAAAAAAAAGTGTTTCAAGGACTTTCCCACCCAGCCAGGCATTGAACCATGATGCTCACATCTCAGCCTCCTGAGTAGTTAGGATTACCGACATGAGCCAGAAGTGCCTAGATAAGAACTCCTTTATGATAGAGATTTGTCCCTAGATAACTGTAAGTGACCAGAGAAGATGCAAAACAGAGGATATATATTCAAATGACTCCCTGTGCTAATGGCCAGACCTCCATTTGTGTCTATGTTCAGAGAGCATCATAATGCACAGAACAGATGCAGGAGAGACTGGAAGAGTGAAGCTCAGCAGTCACTTCAGGAGGAGGACTCTGACAATTAGGACAAGGTGGAGTGAGGCTGCTTTATTTTCTCCTAGGAGCTGTTTCCAGGCACTGATACAGACTTTCTTTGAAGAAAGTGAAGTGTGGGGAGAAGCCCAGGAGACCTCCTTGGGGGTTCTTCTCAGACCTAGAAGGGTTCTCAATCTATAAAGGCTGACAGAAGTTGTTGAGTCTCTGATCTTGTCCTGAGCAGACAAACACAAGAAGACACAAGGAAACTATGCTTGGCCCGGATGGACTCTTGGTCATTTACTGCTCTCCTGTTCCTTGCAGTGTTCCACAGAGCTCATGGTTTAGAACTGACTGGCTTCTGTGGGTTGTATTTCTGTCACCCACAAATGTAAATCTTAGTTAGTTGGGCCCTAAGTAAGGCACAACACACCCACCCGTGTCCTTAGACTTGGTGAAGAGTCCTCTTCCATACTCCCCACAATGCCCTGAACCCTACAGCATCCCCCTTCACAGCTCAGAGTCCAGTGCATTGCCATTAACCAGAATTGTGTGTCACTCAGCTACTACACCATAAGTCCCATGAAGGTGGTCTTCTGCCATGCCTTAATTTCATTTTTTAAAATTGCTTAACATAAGTGGCTGGCAAAGGATAGCTCCATAGTAAATATAAAAAGATGTAACACTTCACACAAACAACAAAGTATTTTATATATATAATATATATATATATATAACAATATATTCACTATAGCTCTTTATACACATCAGCAATAGGTGAAATAACTTGTGAGTTTTGAGGGATTTTTTTTGGGGGGGGTGGTTCGGTCATGGGGCCTGAACTCTGGGCCTGGGCGCTGTCCCTCAGCTCTTCAGCTCAAGGCTAGCGCTCTACCTCTTGAGCCATGGCACCACTTTCCGCTTTTTTCTTTTTTTCTTTCTTTCTCTTTTTGCTTATGTGGTGCTGAGGAATCGAACCCAGGGCCTCATGCATGCAAGGCAAGCACCCTACCACTGAGCCACCTTCCCAGCCCCTTGAGGGATTTTTTAAACCTACAGCATCATTGAAATTGGAGAATGAACAAAGGCAATTTTAGATACACAAAGATTTAGAAAATTTACCACCCATGTATTTTCCCGGGGCGGGGGGGGGGGGGGGGGGGGGGGGGGGCGGGGAAATTGGAGAGGAGAGAAGAGAGGGCAGAGGGGCTGGAAGATAAAGAGATATTAAAGAGATAATTAGGAGCAGGACTCCAGGGAAGCACGTATGGGGGTGGGGGGGGGGGGGGGGAAGGAATGGTGTATTTCAAACAAAAGAAAATGAATCCAAGAGGACAAATATATTTACTAGAAGCTTTAGTAGGCAAAGAAACTTGTGAAATATACTGTTCATTAAAATGGCTAGATTGAAAATAAGAATGTTTGTAACAACTCTCAGAACTCACATTCCAGGATTTGTAAATGTAAGATTAGCAGAAGCCTATAGAGAGACTGAGAGGAGAGAAAGGAAATTAGTACTAAACAATACTAACTGTGCTAAATATCTTCTTTGTGTGTGTGTGTGTGTGTGTGTGTGTGTGTGTGTGTGTGTGTGTGTGTGTGTGTGTGTGTGTGCCAGTTCTTGGGCTTGAATTCAGGGCCTGGGCCCTTTTTGAGCTTTTTTTCCTCAAGGCTAGTGCTCTACCACCTGAGCCACAGCTACACTTCTGACTTTTTGGAGGTTAATTGAAGATGAGAGTCTCACAGACTTTACTGCCCCCTCTGGCTTCAAACTGCAATCCTCAGATCTCAGCCTCCTAGGAATAGCTAGGATTATAGGCATTAGCCCACCAGTACCTAGCTGTACTAAACATTTGAAAAAAAATCTGGATGCAAATTCACATGAGGCATTCATTCGTAGCATAGAAATGAGGCATTCATTCACAGCGTAGAAATACTAGAGATAGACCACTGCATGAAACAAAAAAGACATAAGGGGGTAGACAAAATACCTAAAAATTTATATTTTATATAAAAAAGGTGATAAGTGCTATAATAATCAAATGGCAAGGGAAAAGGGACTGAGAGTGCTGGAGATGGCAAGGATTTGCCATTTCAATGGGAGAGTCCGAAACGTCCCGTGGAGAAGGTGCTGGTAGAAGTGGGCTTGTGCTGTGCAGAGCCTGATTCAGCTTCACTCGTGGGTGTGTCTGCCGAGCCTCAGGCAAATCCCATAGAGAGCAGTAAACCAGGGACAGGAGCAATCAGTCTTACTAGAGAACAGCTCCAGGGGGGTGATAAGATCCCAACCAACCTGCAGCACCAGGATGCTGTGGACGTCTTTTGTACCGCAGGCTGAGAGCGCGGCACCGGTGACGGGTACAGAAGGGACCTACACGACATCCAAGTGAAGGGGAGCCAAATAGTATTCCTAGAGCGGTGATGCTGGGGCCCGGATCGCTCCCACCGTGGTAGCAGCCTGGGGCTTCAGGAAATACCGACACCAGCTTTGAAAGACTTGCTTCCTGCCAGTGTTCCCAGTGAACCTATGTTTCTTTTACCCCACTTCCTTGCTGTTCTTCTGTATCTTTCCCCCTCCGCATAACCAACACATGACTGAAAGTGACTTGATTCCTACCTAGACCCTTGCTGTTCAAAATCTCCAAGTCTTTACATTCTAATGGGCGGGTAAAGATCGTCTTTGAAGGAAAGTTGGACATAAGCTAAGACTTAGAACAAATGAGGCAAATGAGGATTTACATATTTTATTAGGACTTCCGATAAAAATTCTGCAACTACCCAAAGAAGGAAAGATCCAGTCTCCCTGACACCATTTTTTTTCTTAATTGGCATACAAGACCAGATGTATGAAATGAGAGGAAATGTTTGTGGCCTTTATTAATAATTTCTAACTATGTGCTTGAGTGCCTATATTGAACACAGGAGAACAAGAAGAGCTTTTTATTTTATTTTAAAAAAAGCAACTGACATAAAGTACACACACAAATTCTTATATGACAGCATAATACTAATGCCTTATGGAGAATTAAAGAGGTGAGGAAATCATTTTGGTTTCTGATCTAAGAAATGATCCTAATTGAAGAACTTTTGAAGATCTATTGTGTAGAGCATACATAGTGGGGAGGAGAAAGCTTTTTTAAGAGGGTGCTCAGAGTCAGAAAAGTAACTGCTCAAGCAACTAACTGAAAATAGTAGAAAACCTTTCCATAATACCTATGGTGATATTGAGGTAAATTATAAAATAGCTCTGTTCAAGTTGATTATTTAAAAAAAAACAAAAAACAAACAACAAAACCTTGAGGTAGTCTGATAAGTTTTATCAAGCTCTGGGCTACAATGGCTTTTGTGGTGCCTCATCATGCCAGGATGCCCTAGTGCAGAGATGGCTGTAGCAATGAGGCCAAACCAAACCAGCAAGACAACTGAAAAGCAAAGATTGGGCCTTAGTGGCTCTAGGCTGCTGACCATTCTGAGAAGAGATAGTGAAGAAACCAGTTCTGCTTCTGATTTAGCTATGTTGAAAAGGCCTGGATTACTATTTTTTTTTCCAAAGGCTCTAAAGACTAGTTATGGGTTTTATTATTAAGTGAAGAAACTTTTTTTTCAGAGAAAAGAAGGAAATGAATTTTATTTTAGGGAGAAGGGGGATTTGCTGGGTGTTTTCCAGGGAAGTCTGGGAAGGAGAATGTAATTAAATGGACCTTAAGAGATATAGGAATGCTGGGGAGGTAGGAACCGTCCTGTTCTTGTGGTAGTTAAAGCTTGTTTTTGAAGCACTGAGGACAGCTGAACCAAGTCCAATTTTCTGGGTTTAAGAAAATCCTTTCTGGGGGCTGGGAAGGTGGCTCAGTGGTAGAGCGCTTGCCTTGCATGCCTGAGGCCCTGGGTTTGATTCCCCAGCACCCTATAAGCAAAATGAAAAAAAAAGCCGGAAGTGGCGCTGTGGCTCAAGTGGTAGAGCGCTAGCCTGGAGCTGAAGAGCTGAGGGACAGTGCCCAGGCCCAGAGTTCAGGCCCCACAACTGGACCAAAAAAAGAAAAGAAAAGAAAAGAAAATCCTTTCTGGGCTGGAAGATGGCTCAGTGGTAGAGTGCTTGCCTCGCATGCATGAGGCCTTGGGTTCAATTCCTCAGAACCACATAAACAAAAAAAGCCAGAAGTGAGCACTGTGCTTAAGCTGAAGAACTGAGGGACAGCACTCAGGCCCATAGTTCAAGCTCCCAACCAACAAAAAAAAGAAAGCAAAGA